CTCCTGTCCTTCCGGGTAACTCCCAGTTACCCCCCACCCCGGGCATGACGTGCTGTGGTATGGAATACCTCCCCGGCTAGCCCGGGTCAGGCGCCCCGTCTCTGCTTCCTCACAGCTTCCCCTCCTCCCTGGCAGAGCATGAGCCTCACAGAGTCCTTGGTCAGGGTAAACATCACTTAGCAACAACCGAAAACATCGGCTTCACCAACGCTGTTCTCAAAACTAGAAGTCAAAACACAGCACTGCACCAGCTAACACAAAGGAAAAAACATGACTGCTACTGCTGAACCCAGGACACTTAGTTACAGCAAATAAGCCATGCACTTTATCACATTGTTGACAGACTGTCGCGTGGTTTAAACTCAGTCAGGCAAGTCGTTCACTTGCTCCCCCCCACTTTCTTTCCCTCCCCCTACTCCCGGAGGGACAGAGAGGAGAATCAAAAAGAATGCAACTCCCACGGGTTGAGATAAGAACAGTTTAGTAACTAAGGTATAACACAAATCACTGCTGCTACCACCAATGATAATAATGATAAAGGAAATAACAATGGAAGAGAATACAACACCTCACCACCAGCTGAATGATGACTCACCCCCCCCCAGAACGACCAAGCCCTGACCCATATCTCCTCCAACCCCTGCAGCCAACCAGCCCTTCCTGGTAACTCTCTGTTACATCCTGGCCATGATGTGCTGTGGTATGGAATACCTCTTTGGTCAGTTTGGGTCAGGTGTCCTGTCTCTGCTTCCTCCCAGCTTCCCTCCTCCCTGGCAGAGCATGAGGCTCACAAAGTCCTTGGCCAAACCAAAACATCAGTGTTCTCAGCCCTGCTCCCAGGCCGAAAGTCAAAACCTGCACTGCACCAGCTACCGAGAAGGAGAAAAACGACTGCTACTGCTGAACCCAGGACACAAACTTCACTTAATACATGATGTCTCTAATTTGGCCAAGTAATTTGGCTATAAACTTCTATTAATATTATCTTGGATATGGAATGATTTTGCATTTAAATCAATGTTATTTGACATGCTAGATTAAATTAAACATTCTGTGTCTACTACAGCAAAGTATTTGTACTACTATCTTTTTCAGAAGTGCTTATTTACCCATACAGCTATAGGCTCATCCATTACTGTGAGCTGAATTCCAAGAACAAATCAGCAACTACTCAAATAAACCACTGTGGCTGTTAAGCACTGCACCTCTTCAAGGGAATATTCAGTTACGCTCCCCTGTGCATGCAAAGCTTCCACTCACATCAGCGACAAAACAGGGAGACCAAGAAAGAACTTGGCCGTTTGTGGTATGACAGCTCCCGTTGAAACATCCTCCACTGGTCTCTGCCTGCTAGCTTTACAAAAAGCTCTCAAATTCACCAGATTTATGAGTCCAGTCACAGTTTCAGCTTCAAGAGCTTAAGTGTAATGTTAACATTTTTCCCCAGCATCTTACTTCATTTCATCATCCTCTAGAAAATCCAATGCTCCCAAATTATCAGCAATTTTGAAAACACACACATACAAAAAATAAAGGGAGTTGGAGGATGGAAATCAGAGATGACACAGCCTCAACTGTGGCAATTACTGTGAATAGGTCAATAGTATCAAATTCAGTGCAGCTGAGCCACAGCATCGTTGCTGCTGAGCATGTAGAATATGAAAAGGCTTCATCAGGAAGCCTCATGAAATTCTTGGGAAATGTAAGAATTGAGGCATTTTAGTATTACGTATTTACTAAATAAAGCAATAGTCTCAGGAAAACAGCAAGCACATACTGTAGCAACAGAACTGCCATATGAATAAAAACTATTTACTCCATTTCTTATGACCAGTAACCCATCGTTCCTGATCTCCCTCACAAAAAACAAAACTTGCCATATACCACAGTAACAGAGCTGACAAACAGGTAGAGTATTTTCACACACTTGCAAAACTATTTTTCTATCAGTAATTTCCAAGTGTGAAAAGCAACACTCTGGAAATTGCACTGGAATTTCATCCTTCCTTCCTCTAAAGATTTTCCATCTAACATATTCCTGCCCTCCAAACATAAACCAAGTTCAGCTACCAAAGCAGTTTTCTCCTCTATTTCATATTTCATCAGTAATATAAGGTTCCCACAACTGGAAACAAAAATCTTTCTCAACACCATCACCATCTCAACAGTAGGTGCCTTTTCAGCAATATAACGATCACTATTACTCATATACTGGTATAAATACCTAAGCTCCAAAAAAAAAAGGAAAAAAAAGAAAAAAATTATAGCCTAGCTAATGTAGTTATGCCAACGAAACTCTTCTAGTGGCAACAAGGTTAATCCTTAATTTAAAAATAACAAGAGATATGAATTTGTTCTCTTGTTATGTTCTTATCACTTGCACAGAGGTAACTTCATACAGATTGATATCCCAAAGGCAATGAAAACTGCATTGAAATTTCTGTCTGGAGCTCAGTAAACATCATTATTTCTGACAGTCAAAAAAGAATGCAATTCACCCCTTCAACTATGCTGGTTTTGCAGTCTCAGTAAAATTTTCAAGTAATGAGAGGTATTCTGCCCATACAGGTAGCAATTATAATCGAGTATGATGAATAATACCATAATTTCAATCACAGCTACTTTTCAAAGTAGATTCACACACAATCTACACAGCAGACACCAAGACCTATGGAAACAACAAATCAAACCAACCAACCAATTGTTCAAAATACTCAACTTAGTTTATACCCAAATACAAACTCTTGTGCCTCAGCATGCATAATTATGTGTACATACACCAAGATATGTTTCAGAAGAGCTGCTGAGGGAAATATGAAGTCAAACCTATGTAATAAATCTGGGGAAAAGCTATAAAAACTTCAGAAAACATAAAAGCTCCCCGTTGTTTTCAATCCTAGTGGTTATAAAGTATAAGGGAGCAAAAGCATTGCCCAATAAAAATAACACCACTATGTCATGTTGCACCTCAGCCCTGACCTGCAGCAACCCTGCTGCTCCAGCTCCCATGCCTTTGTGCTATAGCTTTTAATCACACAGGAAGAGGTTAAACCAGAGGTATGGTTTCACAAGAACATTCAAGACAAGGCTGACACCACCACTCATTTTCAATGACCAACTCCACCCACCTTGAAGAAGAACATGAATTTGTCAACACCTGAAGTCCTGTTTGTTCTGATCACATAGGGCAGCAGCAGTAAACCCTTGTTCTCAAAGGCACGCTCAAGAACAGCTCTTGAGCACTGGCTGGTGCCCAACACTGTGTAAGGCTATGTAGCGGCACTCACTCACTATGCATACAGTGGTGACAAGGGTGGAGAATCCTGCACAGAACCATAAAAATGTTTGGGAAGAGCTAAGGATATGCTCCTGGGAAAAATCATAGTTCTCTTCTCTGTCTACCTCCTCGGCTGACTTTTGTTTTGTTTGGTTGGGTATTCTGTGCACTGGGACAGGGTGACCAGAGCGATCAATAAATGCAGTGCTAAAGCTGATAAATCTGAGTTGACATTACAGGAAGTTCAGCAGGGAGAGCACAGGGGCAGAAGGAGGCAAAGTACTCAGCTCTCTACACACATAAAAATAAACACCTCTTCCCATCTCCCACTATGCAAACACAAAATTTTTGCCAAAGCACAGGCCATTTTTGTCATCAATGAAAATTAACAAGATGGGAACCCTATCCAACACATCTTAGATATCTATCCAGCCAGGCTCTCTTCCCTTCTGTTTTCTTTTAAATCATTAGCACCCATCATATAATGGTTTTAAAAACATATATATATATATAGAGAGAGAGAGAGAGTTTATGAGCAATTTTCACTCACATAGAATCATAGAATAATACGATAGTTAGGGTTGGAAAGGACCTTAAGAGCATCTAGTTCAAGTCTACCTGCCATGGGCAGGAACACCTCCCACTAAACCATACCACCCAAGGCTCTGTCCAACCTGGCCTTGAACACCAGAAGGGATGGAGCATTCACAACCTCCCTGGGCAGCCCATTCCAGTGCCTCACCACCCTAACAGTAAAGAATTTCTTCCTTATATCCAATCTAAACTTCCCCTGTTTAAGTTTTAACCCGTTACCCCTTGTCCTATCACTATAGTCCCTAATGAAGAGTCCCTCCCCAGCATCCCTATAGGCCCCCTTCAGATACTGGAAGGCTGCTATGATATAAGCTCATAATAGCCTTTTTTCCCAAATCCACATATCTTTACAGTCACATCCAAAACAATCTTTATTAATGCTATCTCCATTTCCACTGGGAGTATATCTCACTCCTCCTCACTCCTTATTTTTTTGTTTAACCATAAAGCAAGCATCACCCTGTCATCTGATTCCCTTGTTCACACATTTTAAATTTAATCAGAATACCCGAGGTGTCAATAATCATGTTGGTCTTTCTGAAAAGAATCAGAAATGGAAATAAAGCTCATGCTACAGAACAACAATGTAATCTGCAGCGCTGCACTGAACTTACTTTTCAAGAAGTCTAAAGTAATCTCCTCTTTTAGTTGAAAACATATAAAGGAAGTTTTGAAACTAAATTTAAGAAGCCAAGCAACTTTATCCAAATACTGAACAATAAATTGGTTACAAGCCATCTGGAAAGATGGTATGACACCCTTCAAAATCATCAGCATCACCTTTCAAAACCATATTTTAATTAATCAAAATTAAAATGGTAGGGGAAAATGTCACCATTAAGTTATATAGTTATTGCTAAATTGGTTGCTTAAGACAGTATTGTTAAAACAGTCTTAGCAGCAAAGTTGCAAAGTAATTCATAGCCTAGAGTGCCCTCTTTCTTTCCCAAGAAGAGTTTCAGGGAAGTATTCTGTTCTGAAGATGTTATTTTTCAGAAAGTCAAATAAAATAGATAACTAGTCTGTATTAAAAAAAAAAAATCTATACATGAAAGCAGTTTAGCATAATTTAAGTGATATCCTTCCACTGGTGATGAGCATGATTCTGCCTTAATAAAAATATACTTACAGAGCCATCTGAAACTGTTCAAGCCATTTTTTCTTCAAGTCTTTCGTTTTGCAATAAACTTCTAAACCGTTTTCACCTTGGATATGAATGAGGTAGAATCCGTAAGACCACTGCATAAATAGATTGACAATACAAAAGTCATCAGTTATGAAAAAAGGAACAGAAACATGGAAAAAAACAACCAACTAAAAAAAAAAAACCACACTAAAGGATTTGTATGTTCCTTAATTCCCTGATTTAGGAACAGAAAGACCACATTATTGTGTTCACTTAGGAATGACTAACTCAAATACTTTAATTACAAATAAACAACGTTTAAACCCTTAAATATTCGCACTTCAGCTTACATTTGAATCACAATAAATTGTGTATATATTCTGAGCTCGTGCAAAATTGCTGCTAAAAATATACATTTTAATATGAATCGGCAACAAATATTTACCTTCTTATTTTCTTTATCAGTAGTGGGGTTATTTGTAATTTTGTATTTCTGAAGATCTATTATTTCCTTCATTTCATAATTATCACCTCTCCGTTTGCAAACAATTACAGCTAGATCAAACAAGAAGATGTGCCTATAAAAATTCAATATAAAGACAGTTAAAAACACTCCAGAAATCTAATACCTAAAGCATTATTTTACGCATCTTTGCCTGTGGCACTTAAAATTTTGAAGGTGAAAAACTAAATTATGGCATAATGAAGAAAAAAAAAAGATCAAACTTTTGCTAGAGATCTAGTATTTGCAAGGGACTTAGGTGATCTTAGATGTTAGAAAAGCTAACTTGCCATGAATCACTTTGTAAATTCACTTGTTAAACAGTGGATAGGTTCTGTGAATACACCGTGAAATGGAAAGTACTCTCAAGAATCACTGGGCTGACCTCAAATTTAAATAGAGTTTCTTTAAAGGCTTTTTAATAGCAAACACCAGATGTCATATCACCTGTCTTGCCTCGCACGTTTGTCTAATGTAGTTATCCTTATTTCCCCATCACCTTGAGGTCTTCCATACTGTAAGAGGGAATGATTCTGAAACAGAAGCAATACATACAATTCAATACAGCAAAAGTGTCAAGATGATGACACATTCAAGTGTTGGATCACTTACTCCTTTTACTTCAAAATAAAGAACTTCTAGGGCCTGAAAACGCATTTTCCTCACTATCATCTAAACTAGATACAATAAAAAAAAAAAATCAGTCCATTCCATTTCAGTCTTCAAATGGGAAAACTTCTCCCATTACAAAACCACCTGAGTTACTGTACAAATACAAACATTTAACTATGTAAATATATTTATCTACAGACTGACCCCCAAAAAAGCAATCTCTGCACTTAAATATTCATGTTTTTCTAAACCAAGCAAAGCATATTTATACTTAAATGTTACCAAGAGTACTATAATATTATATGAAATGGGGAAGAAAATACATCAATATATTTGATCAAAAACGATTTTGAAACTGCATATAAATGAAAAATATCACATACCAGATTCTCTATTGATAGTTGAAACTGTCTAATTTCACGAAGCGTTTCATTATCTCTCTTCACTTCATTTACATATTGAGCCAAGTCCTAAAGCATAAACAGATGAAGGGAGGAAAAAACTTTTCTATAACAGGCCACTTTAATACACTATTTTGGCAATTTTATTTCTAATTTGCCTTTGAATTATATGTGTATTTAGTACATTTTAAAAAATAGGTATCTTTTATGTTTGAGAATCCCCAATATATATGCCTAAATAAAGAAGGAAAAAAGCTTCTGCGTATCTTCAATCTATTTACAACTTTCTTCATATTTATTGAAACAAAAATTTAGCAACAAAGAGGAAAACATGATAAATTGTAAAAAAGGGCTGATTTCTTCTGAATTTCATTAATGTCTTATTTTCAAGGTTAAAGATGGAAATGTAATTTATGCAACACACTACCAAAAGAGTCAACAACATCCAGTATCCGAGAATAAGACAGAAGGTAAATTGAGCATATCGTAGAAAATGTGTAAGGCAGCTCAAAAGCACCATGTAAGGTCACAACCATCTCATAAGCATATATCACATCACACACACATCATATTACATATGGTAAGCCTGGCTGCATATTATGAGAGAAGAAGCTACTGCCCCAGTGGAAGGATCTTGCTCTTACTGTTGCACAGCAGAGAGAAGCCATTACACATCAGATCTTTTAAAGAGGCTTTTAATGGGATATATTACCTGAAGTCATAGGTTGAGATCATTATTGCCCCCTTTACCAGAACATGTACTGTACACACTTCACTAAAGCCTGTAAAATGCTCTGAACATGTTTGAGTAATAGTGACAATTCACTGGAGCTTCTCTGTTTATGGCTAGAGATGAGGAATGAGCAAGAACGACAACTGGTAGGGTCAGGGATGCTGAGAGCAGCAGCTGGAAAAGGCATTCTGATCTCACAACTTGCTTTTACAGTACCCCTTCAGTATGGTCACTTATTTGGAGGGTGGAAGAAAGATACATCTTCCTAGGACATTTTTAATCGAAGCCTAAGAATAGCTGTAATCATTATGCTAAGCATCCCAAATGAATCTCTGCAGGATAGATTCACATCAGTCTTTAAAGAGTTAGTGTAGAAATTAAATAACCTCTTTTCTTGCTGCTAAAAGAGATCTAACGGCATAATCCTTCCGAGAATTTTCTTTCTTTGGGAGCAGTACCACTTAGCTGGCAGTTTTTCCAAAGACATTTTCATTTTCAAGCAGACACACCAGGATTTTTAGAAGCAACATACCAATGTTGCACAGTTATATCTACTAGAAGGATATACTAAATCAGGAGGGAAGCAATGCTGCACCCTTAAGGAGAGATGCTCATGCCTTCAGAGAGCAGGGGTATTTGGGTTGTGGAGCAGAGGGAGGTGGGGTGTTGGGTTGATTGGATGGTTATGGTCTGCCTTGCCAGCACATAACTGCCACAGCCACCCTGGCAAAGAGATTTCTTAACTGGTCTTTTATTTGCAGTCCAACTGCCACCAAAAACAATGAAGCAAACCAGAAAAGAAAAAGGAGGGCAGGAGTAAATAAAAAACAGGGTTATTTTCCTAGCCAATTAGAAGCAGCCAGGGTGCATGGCTTGCCACTAGGTGGAAGCAACAGTGTGCCATCCCATTTCAGGCATCTCTCCCTGGGAGATAATTGTCATGGCATGCTCTGCATTCACTGCACGAAAGCGGATGACAAAAAAATGAGAGCCAAAAATCTCATTAGTGGGTTGGTCTGTATTCCAGGCATTCAAGGCAGACAATCGCATAATACAAGACAACTATGTGACCCAAAACTAACTTAGTCTGACTTCAGCATCTTCTGTTGATCATATAGATTACAACAGGAAATATGACCTATGTCATGTTGTCTTCTTTCCCCTTTTCCCCCCACAAAAGATAGGCAAAAAAAAAAAAGAAAAAGAAAAAAAATCACAATACAGCACAAGAATGTCACAATTTGTGCTGTGAAGCGAACTGCAGCAGAACTGCGCTTCATTTTTGAAGCTGTGCAAAAGAACACATATTACCTTATACATAAGGCAGAACACCTCTTCTATAAAGCATTTGTTTGTACCAATATACAGTGATAGATATTCTATCTCCAGACACTACTACTTTCTAAAGTAAAGCTACACAGCTCATAATAAGAGGACAGAAAAAAAACAAACTTGTGAAGAAAGAGAACCATCTTCATCTCACTAGGAGTCTACTCACCTTGATTAGCATTGACTTACAGTGACAGAAATATGCCTAAATTTTGGAAGCGAGACCCATTATCAAAACACCTGCTTTTCATCACAAAAATGACAGCAAAGTGATGTAGAAGTAAACTTAAGTAAGGAAGTTCCATTTTATAAACCATCCACTTCATTAAACTACTGAGCTTGTTTCCAGACTTGGACAAAGCCCTCAACTATATACTTACCCTGATACACTTACATAGCTCATTGTGATCTGTGAAAACATGCTTCATCTGCTGTGAAAAGCATTATCTCCCCCAAGAAACAGTTCTAATATTTTAACTGCCAACAAAGACAAATACTTAATTGCCATGAATACCTACTTTCATTGCATCAAGTGCCAGTTTTAGATTTGCCTTCTCCATGGGATCAGTAGTGTGCTTTACAAGCTCCTGTGAACAGTTAAAATTTTTCACTCACTGTCAGTTTACAAGTTGACATTGTCATTACTCATCCCCACACAAATTAAAAAAAAAAAGGCCAAAAACATAAAATACAACCTAATAATTCACATATTCACCCCCACAGTGATCCCCCTATTCACATATTTCATCCCCATAGTGAGCAGCTTAGAACTGACTGGGGACCACTGCAAACTGGTAACAGACAACTGTTAAAGAATGATAGCTATATAGCTTAAACACTGACTTTAGCCACTAATGAACCATCATTAGAAGCTAATTTGGTCAGTCTGGCACTTAAAACTTGCCAAATCAGATCATTAATGTATGTGTGTGCTGAAAGCACAGGTAAACACTTGAGTTCATTTGCACATTACTGTATATCATCCCATTTCACTGCAAGCACTTTTCTGCAGAAGGGGATGTACACTGGCAATAAAATCTCTGCTAAACGGTGCACTGCTTAAAAGAAGTCACTGTCTCATTACACCCGACTCAGCTGACATGCTGCCTCAGAAGACATATTTAAATCAAATGTAAATGTTTAAAGAATTTTTTTAGCCACTTCCCAAATGGAAAATAAAGGGGCTGGTTTGGTTTTTATGAAGTGAAGAAGTAACCTCTTGGGGAAATGGGCTATTTCTTCTTTATAATTTGAGAAGGGAATTAAACTTTTCAACAAATATAACTTGCTAAAATCATTGGAAACGCAGAAATAACTATACTTCATATTACAATATTAATAATTTACTGATTTTTTCTTTCAAAGTCCATTAAAATATTTTTCTTGTACAACATACAATATAGTTTCACACAGAAGTGACATACTGTATATCATCTTTTCACAATATACAGGTTGATTATAAAATCATGACTCAGGTCTCTTTAAAAAGCAGCTGCAGCATTCTTTTTTTTTTCCAATTTTCAACTGATCAAAATACTGATGACTCATAAAAATAATTCAAATAATTTAATATTACATAATGCATGTTAGTCTGCAGAGTCAAAATTGTGCTTCACATACAAGTAGTAGATCTTTTTAAAATGACATTTTACAAGCATCAGCAGGGTTGACACTCTAATAAAGTAATATATTTCTTTGCAGCTGAACTAATGAGTCTCCTGGCACAGCTATCAAATTAAATTTATAAGACTCTCCACCCTTATTACAGAACTGCAAAACCTAATGCTTTGTGGGTTATAACATGAAGCATTTCAAAGTAAGTATGGCTTTATTGTAACTCATGACAGCAAAGAAGCATCTTAAAAGTATGTTGTAAGTATGGCCCAGCTTCCTCTTTCTGGGGGGGATGGTTCACATTTCAAAGTACCATGATTATACTTTGGTACTACTAAACCTGTTAAACATACCGAGAATGAAAGATTCAGATACTGAGGAAAAAATTGTGGTTTATTCTTTTTTTCCCAGATATACTTCAGCTCTGAGGAATGATCTTTGAAAGAAAGCCCACATTTGACTGGATTTTATTTTGCAACAAATCAGCCTCAAATCTATGGAAATGTGAATCACCTCCCTTTGATAAAGACCTTTAACTCTCATAGTTACAATTCACTGATGATACTCAGCCCCCTTCAATTTCAAAAATAAAATACCTGGAGCAGTAGGTGGTATTTTAGCACTCTCTGCATTGGAACCACTAAAAGATCCCGTAATGTAAATTTCCCGTTATTGGCCCTCTTTGAACATTCCTAGTTCAAAGGAGAAGAAAGAATAAGACAAGAGAGCTAGAAAATAAAAATATTCATGCAAGACATACAAAAAATCTGTGACACATGGGCCAAGCAACTATATTAATCTTAATATAAAGAATATCAACAAAATAAAGGAAACAATTGATATGACAATAAGAGCTAAGCAAAAAAAAAAGAAAAAAGAAAAAAAAGACTGGACCTGGACGCTTGTTCTTAGATATTTCAACAGTATGAGAAAGAGTAGAATAAACATCACAAAGACAACAACTTGCTGAGGGTACACTCCATCCCTTCATCCAAGTCATTGACAGCAATCTTTAGCAATGATCTGCAGGAAAAGACAGGACACCCACAGCAAGTCTTACAGCCACCAGCAGATTAGAGGTGCAGGAGACACTCTTCAGGGCACGTCCAACAGGATCCTCATATTAAGGCAACAAGATTAAGGCAATGTCTACCTGCTGTGCACTACCTAGGGACACACTAACCCTCAGGGCTGACCAGGAGCAGCTCTGCTTGAAAGGGGGTCATGCCAGATAGCGAGCCTGTGAGGCTGTGGGACCAGGGCTTGTTTAACCTAGAACCCATGTTCTCAGCTGAGATATTATCACGATAAACAGAAGGGTACAGCTGATGATCACTTCCTACACCACTCACCAAAAAAAAAAAAAAAAAAAAAAAATATAACTAAAAGGACAACCTAGCCCTGCTGATGTCAGGGGCAACACTTTTCACTTCAGTGCCAGGACATGTACTGCAAGAGTTCACATATTCATTTGACTAGGGACTCCAAAAAAATGAAAAGGAAGAGAAACACATTCTAGTTTCAGTTAAGCTGTTTTTTTATCATAAAGTTTTTACTTAGATGAAAGTGAGGCATATTCATAGAAGCACGTTTTTTATATATATGTATATATACATGTTAATACTAATACCTCTAACTTCAATTTAACATCTTCTTTGGTCTTAGAGATGTTGTCTAAGCATGATATTGCTATCTCCACTTGACTGCAGTACTGTCCATAAATAACCAATCTAAATCAAAGCAAGAGATAAAGAACAAGAGAAACGTTTCCATACATAAGAACAATAATTTTTGTCATAAATACATTGGTAACAATCCTCCTTTCAAAAGGAGCAGTGCCTAAATAACCCAGGATAGTATTTAGCCATAGACTTCAATAAGCAGCATGAAGGATATTCAGAGGAATACAATTTTTATCTGCCTTCAAAATGCTGTAAAAGCATTGCAACATCCTTTAATATTCACATACACATGTGAATATGAAAGGACTCATTAAAAAGGAGCATAACTGCTATTTAACTGATCAACAGTCTTAAATATTTAGAACAGATTTTCAAGGTTGTGATGTATAAATTCTGTAACACAGACTCAAGAGGATTTGTTACAGCTATCCATTAAAGAACTTACAGGTTGCCTAAACTGATCCATCTCCAACAGTTTCTACCAGAAACCTTCAGATCAAAATAACAGTGTGCAGAAACTCAAGAAATTTTCGATAGCTGTCAAGGGCAGCAATGCTTCTTGAAGGAGCTTGGGTTTATGACAGAAGTTTCTTGTCCCTCTTTGGAGTCCTTCTTTCTACTAGTCCCATTGCAAAGAGTGCCGTTTCCTTTAATCTCGTCTTACATTTCTTGAGGTAATTCCTTCTGTATGCTTAAAATCCTTTTTGGGGGGGGTCCTGTGAGCCTTCCACAAGGGTCTCCCAGATTCTTTATTGTCTCGCCTAATATTTACCATTTTTTTCCCCCCTCATTCTTTTTTCACAGTTGAAGTGATTAAAGTGGTTTAACACCACTTCTGATTACTTTAATCACTACATGGTTAAGACACTAAGTCTACCGCCTTCTGTTTCATTGTTCTATAATATAAAGTTTCCTCTCAGTGTCCTTTGTTCCCCTTTTAGCACACATTTCAGAACCAGTTTTGAAAGATAAGCATTTTCCAGAACAACTTCTTGTCCCCTAATTCCCTCCTACAGAAGCAGAAAGTCTAGCAGCCTGGGAAATAAACATGTCCTACTCCAACATAAAAGCTGGACAGAGGGTCTCTGAAGGCAAGACTGTTTGTGGGCAGCCTGGGACACCCTCCACGCTTAGAAAACAACTCTACTGTTTTCTGGATGCTGCTGTCCAGTTTCTCACAAGAATGTTATTACTGCAACAATCCTCCTTCCCCATCACTCTTGAGCAAACCCAGTTTTCTCCCAGAGGTCTTTCCTGCTATAGTCCCTGAAGGAACTGATTTTTAACCACAACCCAAGGGTTACTTCAAGGTTAGGTCAACACAGTAGCCCACAGTACAAGTGTCTTCCACCACATATATATGCCACAGGCATGTAAGCTCATCTATACAGTCCAAAAGCTGTTCAATGCTGGCCGGAAAAAGCAAATCCAAAAAGGTGAGTAAAAAAACTGGCAATTAGCCTACAGGACATGGCATGCTGCCACAGTTATCCTGTTACCAGCTTGGCTGGTTTTCAGTTTGAAGGTAGAACGTTAGCTTTACTGTCACACCTTTGACTGCAGGGTAGGCTAAGTCTCTAGTCTCTTCTTTCTTTTCTGCAGTCCCTTCTGCTTTCTCTTCCTCCAAATTATGGTTATTTCCGTTTTACTTAACCTGGAATAGCCTTTATATATATATCCTAACCTTACTTTGCCCCTTCTTCCATTTTTATAACATTTTAACTGTTAAACAAAACTGGGATATGCTATAAAATACCCAGGATTTTTTGCATGAAAAAAAAATGTTATGCAGAATAAGCTATTTTTGTTCAAAATATAGATGTTACCTGCCTATGTAACAATATTGCCAAAACTGAGCATAAGAAGAGAGAGGGCTCATACAGCAGTTAGTTACATTTTGACTTCTAGGCTCAAAACAACAAATAACTAGCTTAATAATTATACCGACATAAAATACAACCCAGTTTCAAAAAAAAATAAATAAAAAAAAGTAAAATATCAAATTGAGCATAAATTATCACAATTAATATGAGTGCATAAATCTTACCTTTCTTTGTAGTTAATAAAAATTTGATATAGGTTCTGATCATTTTTGTTTACAATGGAATCATTGATGTCCTGTGTTAGGTTCCTGTGGATTTTCACCAAATCCTTAAAAAAAGTAAATGGGGAGAAGAAAAGGTTTTTGAAAACAGAACTTTGAATATAAAAATGAATTATTTAATGTTAGATCCACTAATTACAATAAATTGAAAAATAGATAATTTGAGTACAACCTGGTTTGCCACAACTTCCCTATCATGCAACAAGAAAAACTAAACTTCAAGAACTACCTATTAGAGACTAATTTATTCTAGCTTAGAACGTGCACTGTTAATTCATCTTCATTTTATAATAATTTTCAAATTAAGCAAGTGAAGTAAATGCTTTAGTGACAAGATAAAGTAATGATTCACATCCCTGAGCTGTGAAAAATTAGTTTTGTACATTACATTGGTCAATTACCGATGTTCTAGTGTTAACTACAATCATAATGAATTTCCTAATTCAGCCGGCAACTAATGGCTGACAGAAAGGCACAGCTATTGCAGAAAGATTTGCTCTCTGAGTACAGTTGTAACTCACCTTGTCTGTTCACTATCATACAAAAAAATCTGTAAGCAACTATGGAAAATTACGTCAGCCTTAATACCACATAGATACTGTCAGAAGATTCACTAGAAATTAACTCAAAGCAAGTTAAAATGTTTGGAAATCAAGAACTGTGCACAGACTGCTAACAAAAAAAAAACAACAAAAAAGAGACATTGAAGATAGATTTGAAAACAGTGTTGGGACTGGCATTGTTTAACTTCGTCATCAACATGGACAGTGGGATTGAGTGTGCTATCACCAAGTTTGCCAGCATGGCATGGTCATCAAGCTGAAGGGAGGGGATGCCATTTAGATGGACTTAGACATGGCTGAGAGGTGGGCCCATGCAAATCTTGAAGTTCAACAGGCCAAGAGCAAGTTCCTGCACCTAGGTGAGGGCAACCCCAAGCAGCATTGAGAAGACAGACTTGGGTGCGCCAGTCAGTAAGAAAGTTAACATGAGCTGGCAATGTGCGCTTGCAACCCAGAAAGCCAGACATATACTGGGCTGTACCAAAACATAGAGTGACCAGCAGGTTGAGAGAGGAGATTCCCCACTCTCTACTCTGCGCTTATGTTCCCATCTGCAGTACTGCGTCCCAGCTCTGGGGCCCCCAGTATAAGCAAATCCACACGAGGGCCATGTAGATGATCAGAGGTCTGAAGCAATTCTACTATAGAGACAAGCTGAGAGAGTTAGGGTTGTTCATTCTGGAGAAAAGAAGGCTCCACAGAGACCTGATAACAGCCTTCCAGGACCTAAACAGGTCCTACAAGAAAACTGGAGAGGGACTTTTTACAAGGGCCTGTAGAGATAGGACTAGGGGAATGGATTTAAACTTTAAACAGGGTAGATCTAGTTTATATATTAGGAGGAAATTCTTTACTGTGAGGGTGGTGAGACACTGGAACAGGCTGCCCAGAGAAGCTGTGGATGCCATAACTGGCAGTGTTCCAGGTCAGGTTGGACAGGGCTTGGTGCAACCTGGTCTAGTGAAAGGTACCCTTGCCCACAGCAAGGTAGTTGGACCTAAATGATCTTTAAGGCCCCTTCCAACCCAAATCATTCTATGATTCAATGATTAAGATGGTGTGGCAGGGTGCTCCACTCCTCCAACCTGGCCTTTATTTCCCATATCAAGTGAGAACCACCAGTGCAGTGGGTGGTGATTGGCCATAGTGGAGCTGTCTGTTGGCTGCATCCAGCTGGAAGTGGATTTAGGAGAGGGAGATAAGAAAAATAGCCAAGGGCTAATCTGAGCAACCTGCATGCCCGCTAACCATAGTCCTGGTCAAGTTCCAACTCAAGCCGAGTTTGGAAAAAAAACTAAATTCTATAGTCAATATGCAAATGTGGCTATGAGTCAATTATCTTACTCCATAGTGGGCAGCCCAGGGCCCATTGAACTCCCGTGCATGGCAGTGGGCAGCACGCCAGGATCTCCCCTTGAGTTAGGATGTCTCTCAAGGTTACTCTTCAAGGTTGAGAGATTCCTTACCACAACAGATTATTGGTAAGTGAATAATAGCATGCTAACCTTTGAAATCTTAGCTCATATAAAGAATTGATTTTTGTATTTATAGTCCATTAGACATAAAGTGTTGACCAAGTCTGGGACTAAGTCTGGATCCAGCCACACCTAAACTACCCACTGAGAAGTTTAACACATGAGAGGGTCCTTTCCAAACCTTGTGACTCAACGTGAGAGCCTCCCTGACATTTCTGTCTGACCCTGCCCTAGCTGTAATAAAACAAATGTACCTTGCCATAAAATGTTGTTAAATACCTGTCCTATTAGCTATCAAACTTTGTTAAATTGCTGTTTTATATCAATAAACATACTGCTACTTCTCTCTTATGAGCATATGCTTTGCTTCATCTGCAACAGCTGGTTTCATGCAGTAAATGACATACTACAAAAATAATACACAATACTGAGTTGTGAACTAAGTGAACTTCACTCATCAGAGGTGAGGGAGCAAAAACGTAAAACAGATCAAATTCAGCTGCTAGCAACTGTATGGCCATATCCTCAGAATATTAAATTGCAGCAGAGGTATTAACATAGAAATGTTTCCCTACTAATATATTACAGAAGCACATTTTCTCAGAAACACACAGACTCAACTAACAACTAACTCCTTAAAAACAGCTTAATGCTAAGGGGACAAAATGTCTTTTTGAGCTTCTATTTCCAACTCAAAGTCAAGCTTTAAATTTAACTGATATTAACATCAGTCATGGTTTGAGCCCAGCTGACAACTAAGTACCACGCAACTGCTTACCCACTCCCCCACCCCTCCTCAGTGGGGTGGAGAGGAGAATTGGCAAAAAGGCAAAAACCCATGGGTTGAGATAATAACAGTTTAATTAATGAAATAAAAGTAAAATGTAATTTTTATTACTATTATTACTAAAATGATATGATGATGGGGGGAATAAATATCCCCCTTTATCCCCCTCACACTGGCAGAACGTGGGACACTGAAAAGTCATTGAATTAGGGTAAGCACTACTTAGCAACAACTAAAACACTGGTGTGTTATCAACATTATTCAGACTAAAACCAAAACACAGCACTGTACCAGCTACTAGGGAAAAAAAAAAAAACCTAGCTCTGTCTATATAGTGAATATAGCTTCACCCTAAGCACTGATCAAAACCCTTTAACAGAGACAAATTCATCCTGTTCTGAGAACACTGCACTTGCTTTCCATGTCACAGTTTGCTGTAGAGCTCTGTGTAACAGCTGGTTTTAGTCTAAAACAAGCTTCCAGTGCCCTCCAGCCTTCCTGCTGAGGAATTGCTGCAGAGACAACGTCTGAGCAGACAAAGCTTTTGCACATATTTTTAGCTTAGACGAATTCTGTATTTCTTTCAATGTTTTTAGATGTCTATGAAGTCTTACTGGAATCAGAAATAAGCATCATCTCGTGACAGCAGAATACTGAATGCTGATAGAGAAAAGCAAAGTAAAACAACAAATAATTTATAACGTGTCTTCCTAGTTTCAAACAAACAGGTTTTGTTCTGTTAGGGTTCTTGCTCTTACCTGATCCCCCTATATTTCTTTAATGAACAGTGATCAGGCCAACTCCTGAGTTTGTACTTGAAGTGTGTAAACCCTTTTTATACCCCTGCGCAGCGTTTCACGTTGGCTGGCTTTAGGTCTTTCAACGGACATAAGTCAATAAGTCTGGGCCCACAGAGCCTTAGGAAAGAGATTTACACTAACTTACGTAGGGCACATCATGGCCTTATTTGCAAAGAATACGGAACATTTATGTAGGACAGAATACAAGTATGTTTTCAAAAGCAAAGGGGTCTTTACAGGCAGCTGACATACTTCAAGAAGTATGGTCAAGTTAGGTTAGTGATATCTGGCAATATTTTGGACTAAGACTCAAATAGAAAGAAATTACAGCAACTGAGATTCAGAGTGAAAAGTTCAATAGCAAGAGCAATATGGCCACACTCTGGGGGCTTTCTTTACAGTGTGCCTCATAAAAGAAGATTCTTTTCATTTGTCTGTTGAGAGAGGCTTCAGACCATGTCTTATGTCTTTATCTGAAGCCAAATAAAGACATCTACTGAATATTTACACCAACTAAAAATACATGTAAATTGTCATACTATTATTTTTAGGCCAAAAATATGTGCAACAAACTAATAATCACAGAAACTTTTATGTTTTCAGTCAAGCATGAAAAATAGCGTGCATATTCTTTTTTTAATCGACTACATTAATATCTACATAAATGCATTGTGCACCATATTTCAAATAATAATTTTGTGCAGTAACGTGCAACACAAATGTATCAAATACATTAAACATGCAATTACTTACAGGAATATTGATGAAAACAGTATCAAACTCTGATGCAGACAGAAACCTTTTCAGTGGCACCATGAAAAACTGCAAGAAAAAGTTTTTATATATCAACTATGACATATTTTCTAGACTGCTATAAAAATACATAAGTTAAAATGCTGTAAGTAGCATCTTACTTTCTCTATAGATTCCAGAGTTTCAGTGTATTTCTCTTCAGTTTGCTTTATTTCAGCAAGACAACAGCTTCTTATATCATTTTCAGTATATTTCTGCAATTACAATAGAGTCAAGTTTAAGTCATTAACAGGCACCTAATGGATAACAAATGTATTTATTTGTTTAGAATTAAGCAATTAGGATAACTGCTTCCTGAAATTCTCAGTACTGCAGCCTCCAGATATGAAAGCAATAACCAAGATTATTTTAATGTGAAATGAGCTGATGACTTTAAGAGTTTTACTAAAATTCAGCATTAAAGGAATGTTATGAAAAGTTCATGTTTAGACCTAAAACACTGAACTTTCTGCATGTGCTTCGGAAGCTGAAATACAAGGTCACATTTAATTTACATCCAGACTTAGAAATCTTATTTAAAATACTCAGCAGTTAATAATTCCATTAAACTTCATGGCACTAAATCATCTAAGTAACTTTCAATACCATAAATACTGGATTCAGTCTAATCCCTGCACTTGTTTACAGTTTTCCCTTGTGGTTCTCAAGGGGAGCTTTCTCTTCAGACACAATATTTGTCCTTTAATTGGGAAGTGCAATGACCTCTAAGTTCAGCTCTTACATACGTATGCGTGAGTCTTCAATGAAATCCTGGGATTTTTCCATGTAAACCACCAGATTCATAGTTAATTGAAATCATTTTCAGCACAGGACTCAAAAAATAGGTTACAAGCACTCTTGCTGAAGATCAGATTTACAGTCACAGCTTCAGTAACTTGCAAATCTGCCTTCAAATAAGAGTAAATACCTGGAAGAAGGTATACAAGCACTGGGTCAAGCAAGACTTAAAGCATCTGGAGACATACAGGTCAGCTTGGAGACCAGACACAGTACGTAGCTCTTACAATTAAAAGAATAATTGATCCAAAATGTTTTCTCCAAGACCAGAAAAAAAGCAGTGTCTTAATAAGCAAAGTACTACTACATCCTTTCTGAGGCCTACTTATCCTTGGAAGGATGCGTAACATCCTTCCAAGGCCTCTTTCATTATATCCCTAACTGCATCTTAAATTTTTTCACCCAGTGTAGGGAATCCATATACTCCACATAATAGACCTGATGACTATGCATTACTCAAATACAGGGAGAGTCGGGACTAGAAATCTAGCACTAAAGTTCTTCCCATTCAGAAGAAGACTTAGCTTTCAAACAGAAGACTTTTCTGCTCCAGGAATAACAAAATTTTTAGATTGTCATTTTAACAATTAGCTCTTAGTGTGCCCAAGAGCTACACTCCTTCCACTCCCCTCTCTTTGCTATCAGTCCACTTGAGAGACCCACTATACATACCACAGCAAACAGCAAACTGCACTTATTAAATTGTCCATGAGCCACGTTAAGCACCTATAATATTGTTTGGCCAGCTATGAAGAGTAGGAAACATATTCCTACCACCTAAACTAGATGTAAATTTGCAAATCAGACAGGCACAAAAATTTCGTCACTGTTCAGACTTCTTTTTGCTGTTTTGACATACCTCCTTTACCCTTCTCTGTTTGTCCCCATGTGACTCTACAAGCAGCTCCTGCAACTGGAATATGGCTTCTCACTCGTATCTACCATGTACTGCGTTATCTCAGAAATTACTCTTCAAAATGCAAATTTTCATTATTGAATGAAATAATTATTGAGTAACACAGTTATTCATTTTCCCACAACACGCATTAAAGTGCCATTCTTATCAGCTGCAGACAGAAGGAACCATTTTGCAAAAATACAGTCTGTCTTTACGAGTAGCAATGTACTTTGTGGGCATCATCTGATGATCAGCCTCATCTCATAACCTATCATTTATTCCCAAATTCCTTGGCAGGGGGAAACAGGCACTGTCGCGGTTAACTACAGCTAATTATTATCTCAATAAAATACTAGAATTTTACATTACTCAGGCTTCTAGTTATTTTTCACCTTTACCTTTGTGAGCCCAGTACTGTTCAAAGCGCTTGCAGTATTTGCACCTAGTTGTTGTACCCAATAGAAGTTCACACCAATTTGTAAAAAGTGGGGCTTTGTTTCATCAACTCTCACATGAGCAATGCAAACAAATTGTTGGAATTCCACTTAAAATGATTCCCTTGAATTTTGTGCTCACCTAATTCAAACAAATCATTCACAGAGGCACTTTTGGCAGAAATTTACACATCCATTTCCTAGCTTTACCACAAACTTCCAGAACTTAAGTGCAGTAAATAAAAGGAGAGAGGAAATAAGAAATAATGTGTGAATACCAGTACAAGTGAGAAAAAATTGCCTTTGAAGGTCAGGTACTGCTAGAGATAACTTAGTGCAACAGTTTACTTCAGAAAATAACAACAACAAATCAAAGATGAGGAGATGCAAAGCATTCTGGCTGCTATGGGAGACTGAAAAGTATTTGGCAATTCTAAAAATCTGCTTGGAGATTGTCCGGTGCTAGTGTTTACACATACAAGGAATTCTCCTGTAGGATTCAAATCAAAGTACTGTGCAAAATAGTCATGTTAGCATGCAGTGTATTTATAAACCTGAGAGGAAATTATCACAAACCAGAAATAATTACCACATTCAAGAAAGCTGTCACAGCAAAACAATTGTAATCTCTCCATTCATTACATGTTGTGGAAAAATATTTTGCTGTACTAATGTTTTCAATTTTCATTTATTTTCCATTAGAAACAAATGCGAGTCTGTTCAATCTGAAGTATCTAGGCTAAGATGCAACTAAAATTAGAATGTGAGAGTCCCAATCACTATATTAATCATTTGCTAAAAACATGGATATGCAAGAGAGACATTTACAACAGGAAAGAATCAGAGAAAGTTTACATGCTACCAAACTGCCAGAGATTACTAACTGCTACAGTTGAAGAAAAAAAAAGCCACCTACACTCGTTATGTGAAACCCCGAACTTAATGCATTCTGAGTTTCAGTATAAAATGAAAACTCAAAAAAAATCACAATAAAGATTTCCCACAATTCAAACACTTTTTCTAAGACACCCTGCCTGCAAGTGCATGCAACTTCACTTAGATATAAAGAAGAGGGGTTTTCCAACTCTTTCTTTTTCGGTTTTCACTGAATAACCTAAACATTAGAGGGTAAATAAAACTATGCAAAATGTGAACAACTAACATAGCTTTCTGCTTATCTGACCATTGATTTGCATGCACTACCTGCAAGATTTTGTATTAGAAGAAAAACAGGCTTGAAAACAATACTGTTATACTCAAAACAATAATGATTAAAACAACCTTCCCAAAGACAAAATAACGGTAACTTTGGGGAACTGCCATAAAAACTAAGAACACAAATCACATTAGCTGTTGTCTTTCATTTAAAAATGACATTTCTTTCAAAAAATTACCACAGTTAACAATCAACCCTTTGCCAAAACAGACTGCAAAGTCTTAAAAAGGAGATTATGCACGGACCAGGACAGCTCTGGATGCAAGTGAGTACGAGTGAAGTTTCAGTGGAAAAAGTTATAAAGAGACAATTTCACAAATATTAATTTTGAAAAATAAGTGTTATTGCTCAAAAATAGATAGGAACTGGAAAACATACAGGTTGCTGTGCTGCTTCATCTTTCATTAGGTCTTCATAAACCTCCCCACCTTCATCTTCTCCATAGACACAATCATACAACTCCTCATCTTCATCAACACCAGTTTCACTGAAAGTTAAAGACAAAACAAAAAGAAGCTGTGAAGCACAGGTAAATTACCATCAGCTCTGCGAGGGACCATTCCTCAGGGGAAGAGCTTTCTACAGTAGCCAAACAGATCAACTAACAGAACTATCTAATGAAAAGAACTCATTATGGAAATTAAGTTAATAAATTTTCTTTCATCAACACATTTAAAAAAACAATAACTGTACTAAATCAACACAACACTGAAGACTGCATGAATTCAGAATCCCATGGACACTAAACCAGGCACTGAAACCAGCTTGTGAGGACAGTTTGGTCATGAGATACCATCCAGCTACTTTCTTCCATCCCTTTTCCCGCCACATCCAGTGAAGAGGAGCTGCCTTTCCTTATTGCCTGGCATCCTACTGCACTAGGAGTGAGACACTGGTAGGTATTTCTCTCCTGCCTAAAAAAAAAATTATCTAGGGTAAAACACATTAAACTATTTTGATAACCTCATAGCAAACTTCAGCTACCCAACAATGAAAAAAAGCAACCTTTCGAACTAAAAAGATCAGACAGTTCAACAAAACCGAGTATGCACAAGTGTCCTATTACCCAGTCTATGGAAACACCTCAGCATAAAGTCAGCGCCAAACTCTACAATCAATTAATTCAGTTTCATAAGGGTAAGGCCTACTGGAGTTTTGCTTATTTTGCACTAAGACAGTACCAAGCCCACAATACCTCTTTCCATCCATGTTTGTTAGGGCATGGCTACAAAAGAACTCTAAAAGATATTGAAAGTAGTCTGGCCATCATAATATAGGAACTTGATCAGATGTGTTGATAACTGAGATTTTTACTGTTGGAAGACAATGCTGAAATCCTTCAGAGTAAAAAACAAATAGAGGATCAGTCCACCAGCCTGGGAAGGACAGCCATTTCTATATGTGGATCATCAGTACTCAAAAACAAGACATCAGAAGCTCTACTGGCAGAGACTGATGATTTCAAAGAAAGCAAAATTAATGAGAATTGCTACCAACACAGTTGCCACATGGACTATTTTGAAATGCTAGACAAAATCACTACGTTTATAATCAGGATTTTATACAAAAGCCAAGTGAATTTTTTATTTATTAAATATAATTTGTTTCTTTTGTTCTTTTTAAGTCAAGAACATCAGAAGGATAAAGCAAGCAAGCATTAGAAGTTTCAGTAGATGGAATGATTGAAAACATATATTTGGGGGGTTCAACAGAAGGCACAAATTGCTCACATCCCTTCCTTTTCCAACAGATACTATGCCCCAGGACAGCTAGAAAGCTCAGGTGCTTCAGGTTAGTCTAGCATTTGAGCTTGCACCAGTGATGATGGTGTGCTAGCATTTCACATTTAACACAGCTGTCTCAGATGCAGCACAGACACATTGCACTTTACCACCTATGCTCCAGGGAACAAAAGCTGGCAAAAAGGCAGAGTAAAGATTGAAACATTTAACTACTACAGCTCTTTCTGACAGAAAGCTTTAAAGTTATTCTAAACTGTTAAGACACCATTTAAACTCAGGGACAATTACTTTCAGTCAAATCCATACTAATTCAGAGAAACTAAAAGATGTGGGCCATTTGCATCATTCACTGACACTTTATTTCTTTTGAAAAGAGTACTTCTTGAATTGTTTCCTCCACAACTAAGCATCTAACTATCAAATTTCATCAGCTAATATTTGTAATTTAACATAAAAAAAAGCTATGAATCTCAATTTGTTTGGTATGACTTGTTACCTTTTTTTTTTAATGAAATTCTGACTCCCAGCACTGAATTTGCATACCTATTCAAGGACTGATAGAAATATTGTTTTCAAACAGTGCTAATGACAGTACACTTAAGACATAAGAACTCCACCTCTAGCCCATGTGGGTCTCAGGAGTCTACAACTTCTACCTTCTGTGCGCTCACCTACACACAGGAAAAAACAGCTATGAAACAGCCAGTGTGCTGCAGAGACAAGGATAAGCTCTGCAGGGAAGGCAGTAAACTGAGCAGTGCCAGCCATGGTGGGGTTTCCCTTTTATGTAGGCAGTAAAGAAATTAATCCCACTGTGTGAACAGCAGCTACTGACCACATCACAGCAAGTGACATACAGTGTGGCCAAGGCCAAGATAGAGCCAAGTGAGCACTAGTGAGTTGAGCTTTGGGACAATGATTTCTGATCCCTGGTCTAGTCAAACATGATTCCTAATGGGTCTTGAGAGATCCTAGCCATAGCATGCAAAAGTAGTTCTCCCAAACAGTTTTTATGCCCAGATGTATTTATCTCACCTGTGTCTGCAAAATAAAGCTGCAGTTTATCATTCACTACTATATGTTTATGTCTGTCTAACTTATACCTCAAAGCCAACATGAAAATTGGCAATAATTAATAATGCTGCAAACACTTACCCAGAGAGGTAAATACACTCATAAAAAGAATTTAATTGACTTTAGGAAATAACCTTCTTGAATTATGATCCAAATATGCATTTTCTTTGCAAGTTCTAGACAATTTCCTTGGGTCCCTTACAACTGATATTGTAATTCTATGAAAGCATTCTTATAGTTTAGGCAATTAAACACATTCATTGCTTACTTTGCTACCAACCCCTCCATGAAACATTCTTCCTTACATATGTAAATGGAATACAATCATTCAGATAAGCTTCCTTAATTACTTGTTCCAGGTCACCATAATGGCTAACAAAATCTTTTAAAATCAAATAAATATTCTCATTAAAACCATGTGTTCCATAACATTATATAAATAATAACATGCAACTGAAGGCAAACATCTTCAACTAAATATTTACAACATACTCTATTAAATCAGGAAGACATTTGTAGATATCTTCATCATCAACGCTTTCTTCTGTAGGGAATGGCCTATAGAAAGAAATATAGCATGAATTATAGACAGCATTAGTCTAGTTTTGTTTGGTTTCTAAACTTTTCACACAGATTGATGTATGTTAATGTGGTTGTATGTTCCTCTCTCTCTAACAGTATATGTGTTTTTAGACATATGTATGAACCAATACGTATTGTAAATTAAAAAAAGAACCTAGGTGGTGTTGTAAAACATCACTACTACACATCATTGTCAGTTTTTCAACTAGAATATTACTTACTCTTTTTAGCACAGGACCTGGATTACAGGACTGACTAGGGAGTTTTGTCCATGTTAAAACCCATTGTTCATTCATATAGTAAGATTGCCAAATCAAACCATTCAAAAAGATGGAGAACACCAAAGCATGAAGTCCTTCATGTTCTCTCATATCCCACAAATATAATTCATGAGGTTAGGTTTGGTCGGAATATTTTGGTTTCTTTCTGAAAATATGAATCTCACAAACTTGGCAGCTCCACTGATATTTAGAAGAGAGAAGGAAGAGAAAGCCCATTTCTACTTACATACATCAGCACTGCATCAGCCTGACTTATGATGAATGTGTCACAATTATCATACAACTTCTGTAATACTGTTTGTTCACTTCATGCTTCAGCACAAGAATTAAACATAGTTCAGGCACTTCAGTAAGCGTACCAGAGGTAGAAAACACCTTCTGGGCTCCTCAGAGGTCCAAACCCTTAGCTAGCCAGAGAAGTTCTTACTGGGGAACACTGCCTGCATTGCCTCTAACAATTTTTTCTGAGGAGCATCATCCAAGAAGCATTATTCCCACAAGGGCAATAACATACCTTATTCCTGTGCCTAATGCAATAGGAGTGCGAGAAAGTTTTGAAAGTGTTTCTATCACCTGGAGAAGAAGGAAACAGAAGCCATGATTAGTTGTAGAACAGAAGCAATAAAACGTTTTGGTCTCAATTTTTTAATTATCAACAACAGCGTTTCACACCAAACTATAAAAAACAGACACAGAATATGGCTGTGTCAAAAACTGAGTGCACTGAATTTTCATCTATTTCCAATGAGCTGGTCTTCAGTGGTTTTGTACTGGGTGATGTGATGGAAGCACTAAGAGAGGAAAAGGGAAATTCTCTTATTGACAAGTTTCAGCATAATTAAAAGCCAGAGCTAGATGGAACTGTACTAAAATTTTATCTTACAGATTGTTCTTAAGATTTATTTTTTTTTATTGTACCTCCAGAAAGAAAATCCGATTAATTTGAGGCTTTTCCAAACAATAGCCAGAAGAGGGAGCCAAATGCCAAATCAGCAGAAAGCTACCTCTCCAGGACTGCCAGTCAAAGAAAGGCAATGTCTGATTAACCAAAGAGTTAAAGAAGCTGCACATTTGAGCCCATAAGCTTTGTATGTTTTTAGAGGGCAGCAGTAGTCTGGAAGATCTTATTTTAAGAAAACATCTTTTGTGAGTGCTCAAGGTTATACAGTAAGAGAGGGAGAACATTAGGGAGGGGAGAATACATGTACATATGATCACACATATGGAGTTAATTTTGCCATCAGCTATAGTCATATAAGACCAATTCATACTATACCTACCATATCATCATTGTCATGAGTATTTTCTATTGTTTTGAGTACTATCACATAGTCAAGTCTTATTTGCTAGAAAAAGAAGTGTTAAAATTACACCCTGTCTGAATTCCATATTCCCAATGACAAAGTTCCCATGAATTCCCCAGAAGTTTCAGAGTGGGTCTTCACAACTTAAAATCCATATTAAACTGAAGTGACATCTCATTTCAGTAGTATCAAAATTCATTATAGAAATTCTATATTCCATGGGCATTTGGGAATAACCTATGCAATTCAAAAATGTTTATTTTTGAAGTTCTAATGAGAAGACTAACGTGACCATAAAACACAGTTAACAATACATCTCTGAAAGGAAGGACAATGAAATTCTTACACAGGAGAATGACAAAGTAAATACTTAAGGGAATAACTGCCAACTACAGAGCTTAAACTGAAGTTACAAAGTCTCTAAAGTGAACCAGACTTCATGCAAATAAAGAAAAAAAATCAGAATGAACTAAGTTATACTGCTTCTGTGAAAGGGACATTTTGGGTTTATTTAAGCTGCTGTAAAAATTATCGTCACACAAAATCTGGTTTTGCCTTACAGAAAATTCGAATAATAAAAGCAAATGAATATGCTATGAGCATAATCAAAATTGCAGACACATCAATTCCCTATGAACAGAACTGCAAAACAGCCTAGAATAAGTTTTGGAAATTGTAAATAAAAGATGATTGAATAAACCATAAAATTAAAAACTGTTTTGTGTAAGTCAAAAGGTCAAGGGGAAAAAAAAGACTCCTGTAAAGAGCCTTGCTTTTGCAGGGGAGTTCTGGTTTCTGCACCAGAAAAGAACCTGCCTCTGCACACCTGCAAGAATCCCAGTGCAAGACTGCAAGGACTGCTAAACTGCATGAGACAAGTATGGGAAGTTAACTGAAAATTCAGTAGCTGGCAAAAAAAAAAATGATCTGTCCTGACATATGGGTGAAGACTGATTGGCAAAATCAGAGGAGAAGATGTTTAATGATTATTGCAACAGAGGTGGGCAAGTCTGGTGAACCGAACAACCCCTTCTTGTTCCAGCATGTTACTTTCCAGCACACAGAAAATCTTTTGCAAACTATTCCACCCACACAGACCCTTTTCCTTAGAGGGATTCGCACTTGTCTAGCACAATCAAACCCAGTGGTATTATTTCTTACTCTTCACATGCTTCAAGATAACACAAAAAAAAAGTTCCTTACAAAAAATCCAGAATATAATATTCATTTTAGGAAGATGACTTAGCAGTGTACCTCTAAATTACATGTTACAGCTACAATCTGAACACAAACAAAAGCAAGGCTTATAAATTAAAAATAATAAGAAAACCATTTCAGAAACTGATATGACAGCTTCAGGGAGGGGGGTGGATGGGACCCCACACAGAGGAAGCCAGAGAAGTGTTTATGAGAGCATGCACACACAGAAAGAGAAAGGAACTATAGGACTAGAGACAACAGAAGACAACTAAGAATTTTAACTGCTCTTACAATAGAGACTGCCTGGCATTGCAGGAAGAGCAAACTAATATGCCAAGACGCCAACAGGAAAAAATGAAACACTACATAATCTACAAAGAAGAAAACGGCAACCACCATAACAACTGTCAGTATCTCATCAGAGACACACAGCGTTCTGCAGAAGTACTAAAACGTGGCCATGCTGACATCACAATAGGGAAAAGGTAATGGGCAGAGATCACTATTCTTCTGTTTCAAAACAGAACAGTCAAGAACCTAAAACCAATAAGGACCACAGTGTGTATTTAAGATTAAAATACATAACTGAAAATAGACATAACTTCCACAAAATAAAAGGTAATGCTTACTCATTGATGAGTCCTATTAAAGCAGAACAGTGCTCTGTCAAGAAACATGATGAGTCCTATTAAAGCAGAACAGTGCTCTGTCAAGAAACAGAACAGTTTCTACTGAAGGGGCTTTTTAGTTTCCTTAAAGAATGCTGAAAAAATGTCAGGAATACTCACACAAGTAATTGCATATTAAACTACTACTTCTGGTCACCACACTACTTCAACATCACATACATGTAAATGCATTTGCTCCAACATGAATTAGAGCAAATTTCTTCCACATGGAATAGAAGTTCTCAAATTCTGACCCACTGCAGGAAGTCTTAAGAGTTTCCAAATTTCTAAGTCAGTGGGGAAGGCCACAGTCATGTTCGTAGTTGCCAGAAAAACAATCAGAGCTTCAGTGAACACTCATCAAAACAATCTAACTAACCCCAGCAAAATATCTGGTTTTGAACAAACTGACTTGAGAGTTTTTCAGAACAGTGCTAGTTTGAAGCCCTATGCAGTTTATGTGAAGGAAGCTATAATATAGCGCAATTCTGAACTCCAAAATTACAGTGCACCATACAGGGCAGGCCGTAACATTCAATTTAGGGCTTTCCATGTGCCTTTTTTTTTTTTTTGCCTTGCTCTCTTCCTTTCAGTGAAGCCTTAAATCATTTTACCCATTTAAGCCTAAATGACTGATCAGTTCTATTCCACAGCAAGGATTCTGACAGATGCTCCTGTACCTTTGAACGAGGCTAAATTTAATCTTAGTGCAAAAGAGCACTCTTTCCTTATCCGAAGTCCATAACAATCGTGCTTCTGCTTCCTCTGCTCTCCAACAAACAGATGTACAAAAGGCTGTAGGGCCTTTGCAAACACACTCTGAACAGAAGCAGGCATTGAAACTATATACCAAGTAAAGACTCATATTTATGTTCCAGCCAGCTACCACATGTGAAAAAAAAATTTATATTCCAAAACATCGTACAACAACTATGTTCCCTCACACTTATAAACTCACTAAGTCTATGACTCTCTTACAACACAGCTCAGACTGAGAGATGTTAGCAAGAGACTTTTAGACATAAAAGGAAGATGCACCTGCATCCACCTTAATAAAGCTCTTTTGCACTGACTAATGCCGTCAGACAGAGGTTAAGCAAGTCTTTAGAAGTCACATCAAAGCCACACTCACTTTAAGATGATGTGAACATCCAAGTCCTTTTTTCAGTATATAGCCAGTTTATGCAAAATGTGACATGAAATTCAAGTCTACTTCCCTGCAAGAGGAACCACAATTCAGCCCACACCCTGGCAAATGGCTCTGCTCCTCACTCATGCATCAGGCAAGACAACAGTCTTACACTACACTAACTTTTTACTTCCTGAATTACTCCTACAGCAAAAGTTCATTTGCTTGGCATTTATTGTTGCTTTACTTCACTTACTTTTGTAGGTTAGACTGTTCAGCTCATGTAAGCGCTTTCATTTCCCTGGCCAAAATGCTACTTTGCAATTTTCTGCAGCCATAATCGTCAATCACATCAGATAGTCTTATGCATACTTACAGCAGCAGTACACTAGAGGGACTATTTTACTTCTTTCCATAGCAGTGGTGTGTCTGAGTTTGAAAACTTGCAAATAGTTCAGTTCAAGAACAAAGTATATTTTAAACATACTTTTCCACTTTTAGAAGAAACAAAAAGTCCATCATTTTGCAACTCACTGTCTCCCCAGATAGGCAATATTTCCTTGCTATTGACAGCTGCTGTCATATTTATATTTCAGATGCTTACCTAAACTGAAAACATGAAGAGATCAACAATACCGATGGCATCATCAGTTTCATAGTTTATGCCAATAAAACCTAGAAAGACTCACTTGTGGGTTAGATCCTCAAAGCAGTTGTTTGCATATACACACACCAAAATCAGGGTATGTTTTTCTGATACACAGTAGAAATCACCAAGAATACATATATCACATGTTAAGTCAGCTTTCAAAATCTGGGCATCTAGCTTAGTAACTGAGGACTGCATTCTGTTGAAAACTTCACTTCCTCCCTTGAAGTGAATTTTTTAGCAGGTACATAGAAACAGATTTCACAAATAGGTAGAAACAGATTAGCTAACATAGAATAGTTATTTGCCAATAAAAAATATTTCCAATACCAACCTACTTTTTGACATGCTACTTTGTTGATACATGCACATAGGTTTCTTCCCAAACAGGTGTTATTTTACTTCATCAATTTTAACTTTTTTTTTGTTGGGGGGAGGGGGGAGGAAATAGTCTTCAATCATAAAGGGAAATTAATCCTTCAGAGAGCTGGTGACCTCCTTGGCTATGGTCTGCCTCCATTCCAGTCTCTGTGGTTAGAGGACTCATCTTAAGCACTCAAGTTCAAGAAAACTTTAGTTCTTTAATGACATGCCCAACATGCCCCCTCATCAACTGACTTTGG